GGGATCCACCCACCTCGGTCCCCCAAAGTGCTGGGATTACAGGCATGAGTCCCCATGCCTGGCTTTTATAATAACTTTAATCCTCACTGGTAAGCTTCAATATAGAAATGTATAGATGTTTCCTGAGTTATGCCATTTTATATAATTCCATATGTTTTTTGCCATGTGTCACTAATCCATTCTCTACTCAGAACTGTCATAGACACAATCAAACAGCATAAGGACCAAAAAAAAAATTTTAAGTCATCAGAGCAGTGTTTGATGTGGCAATGACAAACCCAGAAAGGAGGGAACTTTCAGTTCGCAGCTAGAACTCTGATACCTGAGAGAATATGTCTGGATAAATACCAAAGGAACCTGGTAACAAAAAGTTGAGGAGTCTTCTTTAGGAATCATTTGTGTTCATTTTCAAATGAGTGCAAACTCAGTAGTAAAAATGTTAAAGAAGCATCAAATTCTCAGATGCTATTAAATTAGTTCACTACATCTTGGTTTCTATTTAAAAGAAACTCTTTGCATTTCCAGATTAGAATTTGCTCTAGCATTCCTTATAAACAGAAGGCTGTGCTAAATGAGGGCTCCCCCTCATGGTTACATTAACCAAACCTTATCCTAGAGACAGGTTGAATTACTATACTGAGAAGCCCAGTGTTCTGGTACCTCTCCTCTGCACTCCTGTTCTTTAGCACTTTAGCAGCCTTGTCTACAGGAAAAGGATAAAGGCCTTTGTCAGTCTGTTTACATATTAGCAATTCTGTAGCCCACAGGGGAAGTGGAAAACCCCTTCTAATACATTTTGGGTAGTTTAGTGCATTAGTATCTGCCGAAAATTAACATGCAAATAATGTGACCTTATTTGGAAATAGGGTTTTTGCAAATATAATGCAGGTAAAGACTGACATCATACTAGATCAGGGTGGGCCCTAGATCCAATGACAGTGTCCTTGCAAGAGACAGGGAATGGCATACAGAGATGCTGGAGAGAAGAGGGCCACGTGAAGACAGAGGTAGAGACCGGTGTGATGCTGCCGCAAACCAAGGACCACCAGGAGCCATCAGAAGCTGAAAGCAGCAAGGGAAGATTCTGCCCCAGAACCTTCTGAGACGCTGTGGCCCCGCTGACACCCTGGTTGCAGACATCTGGCCTCCAGAACTGGGAGAGAACAAACTTCTCTTGGTTTTGTTTGTTTTGTTTTCCTTTTTTGGTTTGTTTTTGTCTTTTTGAGACAGAGACTCGCTCCGTTGCCAGGCTGGAGTGCAGTGTGGCAACCTCCACTCACTGCAACCTCCACCTCCCGGGTTCAAGCGATTCTCCTGCCTCAACCTCCAAGTAGCTAGAACTACAGGTGTGGGCCACCGCGCCCAGCTAATTTTTTGTTTTGTTTTGTTTTAGTAGAGACAGGGTTTCACCATGTTGGCCAGGATGGTCTCAATCTCTTGACATCATGATCCGCCCATCTCGGCCTCACAAAGTCCTGGCATTACAGGCATAAGCCACTACGCCCAGTCAACTTCTCTTATTTCAAGTCGCAAAGTTTGTAGGAATTTGTTACTGCAGCCCTGGGGAACAATGCAGGTAGGACAGGGCATGGAGAAGGGCTATCTTCTGTGGACCTAAGGAGATATTGAGGCCGACATAAAGTCCCGGTCCAGATTAAAGCGAGCCTTCGAATTTAGTCTTAGTGAATTTTGGACAGTATTTCCAATGAGCTGTTCTCATGCATAATTGTAACTGGCACAAAACCTCCTGAAGACGATTTTGCTTCTCTGTTCACCTGCAGTTCTGGGTTGTACTAAACTTGAACCACATGCTTTTTACCAGGTGTTTTGTACTCTTTTATGGCGAGTCAGGTGTGGCTATAGGAGACATGGGGAAGGCTCAGAAACACAAAAGTTTATTATTCTCACAGGTTGTAGCGACAGGAGGCAGGGCATACCACACAGGGCTAGATGGGAAAGACACCAGGGTGCTCAGGAGGAGGAAGACAGGGATGAGAGGGGATGCATCAGGCCAGAGCCTTTATTGGGGTTTCCAAGGGAAATGTAAGCCAGGGCTGGGTGAGCGGCTTAAGATGCACTGATTTGAATAATTTTGGAGGGTTCTAAACTCCAGGGGTGAGCCTTACTTCCCTACCTGGTCCTTACGTCCCTGCTGCCTGGCCCTAGAATGACGCAGGTGGAGGACTATTGCCTCCAGGGTGTGTGGGCGAAGAGGAGGTCTAGGTCTCCATTGGTTAGCTCGCATATCAAATGTATGCTCTGAGCACCCTTTGCTCAGACAAACCCTGGGAAAGACAATCTCTTCCTAGCCTAGAAAGGTTTTTTGAAAAGATGTTAAACATCCAGCAGGCAAGGTGGAAAGGCCGAGTGTGGCAGATAACGCGAGGTTAGGAGTTAGTTAGATTTTAGTTTAAAAAAGGTAAATTATTTTAACTTTCCTTTTAAAATGTAATCTATAAGAGATTAGATGAACTTCCAAACCTAAAATGGCAAGTGTAATAGTATTTCCATGTTGAGTTTTATACATGTTACCTCATTTAATCTTCGTGGCAACCCAGGAGAAAGGTACTATTTTTATTCCCTTTAAAGATGGGGAAATTGATTCACTGCACTACATGTGGTGGATGTTTGTTTTGCATTGTTTTAAAGGAATTGTTGTGGCTGGGTAGTTTATGAAGGAAAGAGGTTTATTTGGCTTATGGTTCTGCTTATTGTACAAAAAGCAGGGTGCCAGCATCTGCTCAGCTTCTGGTGAGGGCTCAGCTGCTTCCACCCATCGCAGAAGGCAGAGGGGAGCCAGTGTGTGCAGAGATTACATGTGAGAGAGGAAGCAAGAGAGAGAAAGGGTGGTACCACGCTCTTTTTAACAGCTAGCTCCCTTTTGAACCAATAGAGTGAGAGAGAAGTCATTCACCTTCCAGGGACAGCATTAATTTTAAAGAAACTCCACACAGTTTGATGAATTGCTCTGCCTGGCCAGCCTGCATTCCAAGGTTTACTCTAGTGGCCCAGGGCACCTCTGTTCTTGGGGATAATAACTTCATTTTACTTTATGAGCAAAAGACGTTCCACTGTGTTCCAAGAATGAGTACTGAAAGTTGAGTAAATATGCGAGAATCAGAAACACTCCACTTTGGCAGGGTATAGTGGCCCACACTTGTAATCCCAGAACTTTGGAAGGCCTAAGCAAGCAGATCACCTGAGGTCAGGAGTTCAAGACCAGCCTGGCCAACATGGTGAAACCCCATCTCTACTAAAAATACAAAAATTAGCCAGACATGGTGGCATATGCCTGTAATCCCAGCTACTCGGGAGGCTGAAGCAGGAGAATCACTTGAACCCAGGAGGTGTAGATTGCATTGAGCTGAGATTGCACCTTTGTACTCCAGCCTAGGCAACAGGAGAGAAACTCTGTCTCAGAAAAAAGAAAGAAAGAGGAGGAAAGAAAGGAAAGAAAGAAAGAAGAAAGAAAGAAAGAAAGAAAGAAAGAAAGAAAGAAAGAAAGAAAGAAAGAAAGAAAGAAAGGAAGGAAGGAAGGAAGGAAAGAAAGAAAAGAAAGAAAGGAAAGAAGGAAAGAAAAGAAAGAAAGAAAGAAAGAAAGAAAGAAAGAAAGAAAGAAAGAAAGAAAGAAAGAAAAAGGAAGGAAGGAAGGAAGGAAGGAAGGAAGGAAGGAAGGAAGGAAGGAAGGAAGGAAGGAAGGGAAAAAAGACTCCACTCTGCATAAATCCAAGCCTTATAAATTATAAATCAATCACTTACTCATTATAAGTAAGCATGTATACTTAGTAAACTATCAGATTTCGCCTTTCATTTTCATAAATGATCATACCATTTAACACGACATCATCACACATTCTTTGTTCTGGCCTCTTCTCTGACAGAGGTGTAAGTCCTTCAACTAAACATCAAGGGAGCCCAGGAGTGGCCCTGCAGATTGACAGGAAGGTTTCTGAGGACTACCTGCATCTGAGCCACCTAGGGGGCTGGTAAGAGACGCTGAGTCCTACCCCTCCTCCCGAGAAATGCTAATTGAGTAAGTAGGATTAAAGCCCAGGCATCTGCATTCACATGCAGTGGAGACAATTTTATTATCCGATTCGTAACACCTAGAAAAATGACTAGTCTAAATCAGAAGCTTTTAACTTTGGCAGGCATCTACTCACTTAAGGCTTGTTAAAACACAGATTGCTGGGCTCTCAGGTTGCAGAGTTTCTAATCCAGTGCCTCTGAGATAAGGCCCAAGAATTGGCTTTTCTTTCCAGTTCCCAGGTGCTGCTGCTGCTGCTGCAGGTCCCAGATCTGCACTATGAAAACCACTGATCTAGACGAATAGTCTTTCTTGTGCAAATGCAAAAACAAACATTTTTCAAAATGCACTAATAGGTGTCACATAGAACGAGTTAAATTAAAGCTAATTCTTTATTGCCTGAGTTCTCACTTCATCATGCCAGTATGCATTATTAATTCCAAGTGGGGATATACGATGCAGCATTTCCCAAACATACTTTACCATAAAACTCTCTTCTCAAGGATAATCCTGGGAAGCTATTTCAGAAAAGCCTGATAAAGCATTATGACAAGTTAATGCACCCAGAAAACTTGGGTGCTTTATCAGGCTTTTCTGTCCCCAACCAAATCTCATCCTTTGTCCTCATCCCCCAATGCCAATGCCAGGGGAATCTAACAACATGGGAGAGAGAGATGCCTTCTATAGAATTCAAATTGGCATGCCTAACTCACTTGCCAATAAAACTAAATTATAACTAGTACTTGGTACAAGTGAAATCATGTTTTTGAATTTTATGTACTTTAAACACTTTATGAGGGCTAGTAAGCACTAGATTTCAATGATATTAAAATGATAGATTTCACTGATATTGAAAGTACCTTATGGCATTTTGAACTGGATGATAAAAGAAAAAAAGGCAAAAGTACCTTAGTAGTCACTGAAGTATACAAAAATACATAGGTTAAAAAGATTATTTCCTGGGCCGAGCACGTGGCCTGAAGACCGCGGGTGACTAGCATACAGATACCCGTGCTCTTACTTTCTGTCCTTCCACTGACATGGCCCACTGGGGTGGGGAGAGGGACTTCCAGACTTCAGCTCGATGCATGGGCACCTCACTCCTCTTCCTGCTTTCAGTGCACAAACGGGAGCTGGACCTGGTTTTTCTGGATTATAGCTATGCCAAGCCTTAAAGTGCCCACCAAGATGCCAATAGCACCCACCTCACCCGCATGCTCTTTGTCACTCCCCAGGGGCAGCACAAAAGTACCATATGATTGTTAAATACCTGTGAAGTATGTGTGGCCCGGTCCTATTTCCTCACCTGTTTACAGGGAATCAGACATCCCAATAGATGGGAGACGGTATGTCAACCCCTGTGCCACTCTATGACAATCAGAAGGCATGCAGCATGATGAATGCGTGTGAACGGCATGTCATCTTCTCCAGAACTGATGCAGATGCCCCTCCTCCACCAGAGACTGTGAGGAGTACGTCAACAGGACTGGCTGGACAATGGCCCAGAGCAAGCTATTCAACAAGATCCTCAAAGCCCTGCAGTCTGACCAGCTTGCCCACTTGGCCAGTGAAGGGGCTTGTAATGAGCCAGTGCTGCACCGTGTTGCTGTGGACAAGTGTGTGAGGAGAGTGCAGCCAGCTCTGGCAAGTGTGAGCTGGGACACCAAGCTTATCCAATGGCTGCACACCACCCTTATGGAGACCTTGAGTCTGCCCATGCTGGCAGCCTACCTGGATGCTTTGCAGATGCTGAAGGGGAAGATCCCAACCTTGATTGACCGGATGCTTCTGTCATCCAACACGAAGGCTGGGGCTGCAGGAGCTGAAGCCTTGTCTCTCCTACTGAAGAGGACCTGGGACCCTGCTGTGGAGGCGCGTTCTCATTACAAACCAAGCAAACTCCCTGGCACCCCATTGATTCTCATCACTTTCTCTGGTCCCTCCAGCTCTGTGATTCCCACTTCATGCCACCACCGATTCTGGCACTCTCAGCTCTCCTGCTCAGGCAAGGTCATCCCTGTAGCCACCCATCTGCTGAACAATGGCAGTGGGGTAAGAGTTTTGCAGTGTCTCGAGCATATTATTGGGGCGGTGAGAAGCAAAGTGCTGGAGATTCACAGCCATTTCCCACACAAACCCATTATCTTGATTGGCTGGAACACAGGAGCTTTGGTGGCCTGTCATGTGTCAGTGATGGAGTGTGTCACTGCAGTTGTCTGCCTTGGGTTTCCTCTATTTATTGTGGATGGCCCAAGAGGGGATATAGATGATCCCCTCCTGGATATGAAGACTCCAGTCCTCTTTGTCGTTGTTCAGAATTCCCTTCAGTGTCACCCTGAAGCCATGGAGGGCTTCGGGGAGAGGATTTGAGCTGAGAGCAGCTTGGTAGTGTTTGGGGGAGCTGATGAGAATCTCAGAATAAGCAAAGCAAGGAAAAAATCAGAAGAATTGACTCAGAGCATGGTGGACAGATGTATTCAGGAAGAGATTGTGGACTTTCTGACTGGAGTGCTCACTCGTGCTGAGGGTCATCTGGGCTCTGAACCTCAGGGTCAGGATGCGGAGAAGAAGCCCCACGACGTAGCCTGCAGAGACTTGGCCTTTGAAGTCCCTGAGAGGGGCAGTCAACCTGCTTCCCCAGCTGCCAAGCTGCCCGACTTGCCCTCAGGAGAGGATCTCTCCAGTGTGTCCAGCAGCCTCACCTCCAGTCTCAAGACCAAAGTGACCACAGTGACCTCTGCCCTGAAGTCCGGTCAGATTGGAAGCTCTCAGCTGCTGAAGAGACATGTGCAGCGAGCGGACAGAAGCTGTGCTGATCCACAAACGAGCTCAAGTTCCCATTTCATCAGAACCAGTGGAGGAAGGAGAGAAAGAGGATCTTAGGGTCCAGCTGAAGTGATGCCATCCCTCAAGTCCTCTTCCTGGCAGTAAGACCTCCAAGCAACCCAAGATTAAGGTGTCCCTTATCTCCCAAGGGGATACAGCTGGAGGGCCTTGTGCTCCTACCCAAAGAAGTGTTCCAGAAGGTAGGAAGCCCATCACCATTACACGGGGGCAGGCTTCAGCAGGGGCCAAGGAGCTCACGGGACTTCTCACCACAGCCAAGTCCAGTGCTTCTGAAGGTGGAGTCTCAGCCAGCCCAGCCCCTTCAGGGGTCCTCAGCAGCACTGCACCCAGTGCCTTGCACATGCTGCAGAGCCACTTAGTGGTCACCTCTCCTGGAAGCTCCCCCCAGGTGCCACATCAGCCAGCAGCCTCCTCCAAGGCCTCAGCTTCAGTTTGCAGGATATCAGTAGCAAGACCTCTGGCCTTTCACAAATCCCTCCCTAGGAACAGCCCCACAGGCCACCAGTATTAAGTTGCCCACCCCCATGCAGAGCCTGGGTGCCATCATCACGGGCACCAGCATCATTGTCCGTACCATTCCTGTGGCCACAACTCTCTCCTCCTTGGGTGCCACTCCTGGTGGGAAGCCCACAGCCATTCACCAGCTGCCAACCAATGGGACCTCGCTAAGTTGGCAAGCAGCCTCCCTGGGCTGGCTCAGATCTCTAACCAAGCATCAGGCTTGAAGGTCCCCACCACCATTACTCTGACACTTCGTGGCAAGCTGAGCAGGATCACCACGCTGAACCCCATGGGCTCAGGAGCAGCTCCATCCAAGGAGCCCCCTTCCCAGGTGCTGCCCTCCAGCTCACAGCACCTGCCTCCAGCACCCTGAAGATGTGACATGTCCTCCTTACCAAGTTGGTGATGGCTGTCTCACGGTGTGCCCTGGGCACGTGTGTGGTCCTGCTGAGTTGTCCACGTTCCTGAAGACTTCTTTAAGACCATCATTTTTGCCTCTCTGCCAACTGTCTTCAGAGTCGGGCTGTTGAATCTTCAGAGAAACCATTAGGTTAGGTGATAAAGCACCAGCAAGGGAAACACCATCATCCAGGATCTGCAAATCTGGTTCCTGGGCTCCCCAGCCTCCTCAGCAGATCTGACTGTGCATGGATCAGAGGCACCTCTTCCCCTGTTTAAGCTGCGGTTTGACCCAAGCATCAGTATTGGACCGCCTGCTGCATAATAAAGATGTTTCCTTTTGGAGGTCTGTGCTACCCTCTGTGCCCAGTTGGGAGGAGACATCCATATGGTCTGGGACTTCTGGGCTTCGGGAGTTAGAATGGAAAGCCCTTTGCTGAAGACTGGAGTCATCCTGGCCTACCAAATGGTGGTTCAGAGCCAGAGGGGCTTGTTTAGGACATCACTGTTGCCTTCGCTGAGCAGCCGTGGGAGAGTGTTCCCCACGCAACTCCACCTTAGAAACCATACCAGGTACTGAGTAGCCTGCTGACACCTGAAAACTTCCGGTTTTTGTTAGCATCATAATGAAGGCAAAGAGAACTAGGCTGCCATTTTTCAGCCTCATTGACTTACTCTAGATGTTAGGAGCAGTGGCTGCCAGGGGAAACCTGGCCCCTTTGTCTTTTTCACCATGCTCTGGGCAGTTTCTGTATCCAGAGAATCCGCAGGTTCAGATAGGCTGAAGAAGAGAAATGGAACAGCAAAGGAAGTGGCTTGAAGGGCGTGCCAGTAAGCCCTGTGGTTTGGGCTTAGGTCTCTGCTCTGCCACCCAAGGAACTAGTGATTCAGCTGGAGATAAAGAGAAGAATTTGCAAAGTCGGAGAAGAAACCCCAACCCCTGAAAACCCTCTGTCTCCAGTCTCTGGAGGGGAAGCAGGGACGACAAGTTAAGGTAGTATCTTGGCCATCCCAGGAAACTTGTGGCATCAGGACGATGAAGGCCATGCTTCAGCGTTTTCGTTTCTATTTCATGAGACTTTGTCTACCTGCTTAGAAGTGGGAAGATGATCGACAATGACTCTACTATGCAGGGCTGTTGGTACCAGTGAGCCCTGTAGGTGGCAGCCCCTGGAGAATTGGTCACAGAAGAGGGAGCTCTGAGCCCCTGCTTATCTCTTCATAACACTTGTGTGCAAAGATAGTTTTAGATTTGGTTTTGAAGCTATCCTCCAGAACAGGCTCCCACACTTAGAATGTTTCCAGTTAAGGTAATAAATTAGGCAACCCAAGTGTAACTCTATTCAGCGTCCTTTTCTGTAGGCAGGAAGAGCCTACAACATGGCTTAAATTAGAGTCCATGGTCCTGACCCACAGTACAATAGGTAGCTATACCAGGCCACCTGTGTTCAATCTGGGAACCTTCCTGGCCAGTCTGAGTGGCAGTCAGAAGGCAGTGCTTAGTGTCTAGGAGTCTCAGGCAAGGTAGGTCAGGGTACTGTGGGCAGGAGGGATGTGTGTGATAGGAGAGGGTACCCTAAACACCACACCTTCCCTCCCTGACCTGAAAAGCTGATCTCAACAGGGATTCACAGAGAATTAGGCTGTGTTTTTGCATTAGCTGGTGACTTTCTGAAATTTCTTGAATTCAGGAAGTTTTTAGTAAACTTGAGGAAGGTATGAAATCTGAGGAGGCATCCAGGACCCAGGGATTTGATGGCTTTACAGGTAGGTTCATATCACACCAAAAGAGCAGAGGGCAGTAAGACTATATGAGCTATGTGAAGTTTTAGGAATCATTCAGGCCAGACAGAGCCCCAAACAAGCCATTCATGACTTAAGAAAAGTTGTTGGTTCAGTGTATGCGGGGGACAAAGAAAAACTAACAAGCTGACCTGCCTTTATGGGAAATTCTAGTATACTTGTAATGGATGACTTCCTGAGGTATGGTCTGTCCACCTTGAAGAACACCACAACTGAAGAAGGGGAGCTGTGAGAACGTGGATTGTTTTACACCTTGGACAGGGTAACAGATGAAGTGGTTGAGGCCTCGAGTCGCATTTTCCAGTTCCCTTCGCAAACTATATTTCTTGAAATACAAAAGGAAGCTTTACCTATTTCATAGAAGACCTGGAATCCATAACCTCGGAAGGTGGTACTATTGGTAGAAAATGTGAAAGGATCAGGAAGGTCTTAAATTCTTGGATGACAGACGCATGTTGATGCCCTATGGAGATATCCTTGTGCTTTGAGGTCACTGAGGTAGGAAGACCTTCTACTCTTGGCCCCAGCACTACTACAGTCTTGGGCTAGATGGGTTATAGGGCTGAGCAGCTGTGATGGTTCTGTTCTTACATTAGCAAAAACAATTAAAAACAACAACAAAAAAAGATTATTTCCTACTATACTCTCATAAGGAGATAAAATATATACATCAATAAGGATAGCATGAAGCAGATTACAATAAGTATAATAAGACAGTTATAAGCAAAATGTCCTTACGTTGGGGACCATCTGCATTAATCTTATTTGAGTGCCTTAAAATACTTGATGGTCAACACCCAGCAACTTTGCTTAAAAGAAATACACTTTCTCTAATTCACAAGATTTTTCTGTGACTAAATTCTAAGTGTCCTCTAATGCAGTGTGAGAAGGACCCTAGTTGACTATGGCAAGTCCCATAATGCAGTTCTTCCAAAACTTGCTTTAAGACTCACCTAGGCCACTTACGAAAAATATAGGTTCCCCAGACTCCATGCCCACCAAATAAATGCAAGCGTCCAGTGGAGGAGACTGTAAATTTGTGTTTTTGATAAATGCTCAGCTCCCAGTTTTTATTTTAGCATAAGGAGACAGAGCTTTCTCTGAAGTGTCTTTAAGGACAGAAATCCGGTCATTCATTCATTCAATCAAATATTTAGTAACCTCATGCAGCATGCAAGAGCAGATTTTTCATAATCTATGTTTTTAAATTATATTTGCAGCATGACTATGTCATTTTTAGCTGAAAAACTCTTTTTGAGTAAAAATATTTGTTTTATTGGTGCTGTTTTTAGAACACTACCAATACATACCAGAAATCATATCCCCTAACACAGTATTCCCTTCCGTGCAGTGCTTGTTACGCTACCCTAGGCTGCCCCAAGATAAATCAGAGAATAAATTTTATCAGGATCATTACTAAAGTATATAAAACCATTCTGATCACTGTCTCATACATCCTTAAAATATGAAGCACACAGGATTTAAAATGTAGAAATACATATACCAAAAGCTGTTTTCTTTAAATTGCTAAATTCCCAACTTTGCAATTTTGGCAACATTTCCCATGTTCTATATTTCTACTTTCTGCCTTTTGGTGGAAGGGAGTAATGGGTAGAAAGAGGAAAATACTTTGGAAAGCCAGAAAGAAAGGTAAAAGCTGATTACTAAAAGGCTTGTTTGACGATGTTGCTATTTAAAAGGTAAAAAATATTATGCTGTGACTTGGGGAAGAATTAGCAGTTTTCTCCTGTTTCTTTCTGCTAGTCTAAAATTTCCTGCTTCCATCCTGACATCATCTCTTTCTCCTTCTTACATCTTTTTCTTCCGCACATGCGCGCGCATGTGTGTGTGTGTTTGTGTGTGTGTGTAGTAAGAGAGAGCAAGAGAGAAAGATACAATGCAGTAGAAAATCAGAGAAAGAGAGCAGGATTAAGAAAGAGAAAAGAGGCCGAGCATGGTGGCTCACACCTGTAATTCTAGCACTTTGGGAGGCCAAGACAGGCAGATCACAAGGTCGGGAGTTCGAGACCAGTCTAAACAACATAATGAAACCCCGTTTCTATTAAAAATACAAAAAATTAGCCGGGTGTGGTGGTGTGCACCTGTAATCTCAGCTACTCAGGAGACTGAGGCAGAAAAATCATGTGAACCTGGGAGGCAGAGGTTGCAGTGAGCTGAGATCACGCCATTGCACTTCAGGCCAGGCAACAGTGCAAGACTCTGTCTCAAAATAAAAAAAGAAAAGAGAGAGAAAAAAAGAAAGAGAGAAGAGAAGATTAAACTGTATCACTTGGTTCTGCTGGACTAAAATATTGTAACCGAGGCCACATAGAGTATGCCCCTTGAAACGAGGACGAGAGAGCCATGGTGAGGACAAAGGATTAGAAAATGGCACACAGCCCTGGTTTTAAGCATGGCATTATCTATTAATCGTAAAAATTCAGCAAATTGAAGTTTTCCATTTGTAAAAGCTTAGGATCTGCCAAAGAAGCAGAGTGAAAGAAAATCAGTGTCTATGGCAGTCCCTCAGCCACATCTCATTAATTTCATAGTAGCAGTGAAACACTACCCACAAAACAGCCCTGTGTTCTGGGATGCTGTCACCTCACCTAATTTCTGTCACTGATCCTGAGGTAGACAGATGTGGCAGGAACAGGAACATGAACATGGTACACAGTAAAGTGAGGCCCTGGTAGCCCCCAAGGTCGATGCCTTCAGACCTTCACAAGCCCACTTCTCACTCACTTTCTGCAGATATGCACGAAACTATTTATACGAATACTCAACGCCTCAACATACTTGGAGCCAAATAACCTACCTACTTACATGCTTTATTTTTAACATCTATAACATACAATCACTCATAACACTATTGTGTTTTTGGTAAATTGTTTTCAGTAATACCTTAATGACTTGCAATACTTTCATTGATTTCATAAATAAAAATAATGTGAATTTAAATTCTAGTTCATAACAACTCTGGTTGTTATTTAAATAAACTTTTGTATAATTCACACTATTCTGATATAGGAGCCTCAACAGAAATGAAAAAGACAACAGAAAAATAAGCAGCAAATACTAATAGCTAAATACTTAAAGCTGATGTCCCATGAAAGGTGAAATTCTATATATGGAATGTAAACCAACTCTGAGTAATTTCTTTGGCCTAGAAAAGAAATCCAATAATAGTTTCTTATTTTGGTTATTTAGTTATTTTTAATAAATCTGTTTCTTAGTCAAGTCACCTAACCTCCTTTAGTATGAATTTTTCTATCTGGGATTCTGCTTATATATATCTGTAAGTAAAGATGATGATAATGACCAAATACAGTTATCATGAGTATAAAATAGAGTACCTTGCACGACATAGTGGGTACTCGCTAAGTATGACTTCTTTCAGTGCTAAATGCTAATACTCAACTTCTCTACTAAAAGGGGGAAATGAAAATCTCTCAAAGAATTCTCCTTATCTAAAGATATGAAATAAGTTTACAAAAGTAAACTTGTCAAAAGGTCAAAAAACTCTGCCAAACCAGGAAAGGAAGATAATCCAATGCCATAAATTTCCAAAATTTGAAAACCTGACAGCCAAGGAAACAAATGGTGATTCCAGATCCCCGTAGAACAGAACACTTTGAAAGGCTCCTGACGCTATCCCCAGAACCTACGCGGTGTTTTAAGTGCAACCACAAAATTAAACTACACTGAATTTATCAGTTCAAAAGAAATGCACTGCTTTGTTCACACTCATGAGATTCCACTTCAGCTCCCCTAATTAACTAAACATCTAATCATTTTTATGCCATACTTTAATCAAGTGATTCAATCATCCTCCCCTTATCTATCATTGTTAAATGGAAAAAAACAGAAACTACTCTAGGTATATTAAACAGAAATTAGGTAAGCAGAAAATCCTCAGAAGGGCTGGAAGAGTGGGCGTAAACAAGGCCTACATCTGTGCTCTTGGATCATCATGGCTACAACTCAGAGCAGAGACAACTGCTGCTCCCGCCCCCAACACAACTGCCTCTCAGCACCCACAAAGCTGGTAGTACCTGAAACGCCCTTCCACAATTGCTCCTATGTCATTGTTTTAGACGCAGCCGCAAGAAAATGACTTTATACTTCTCTTCTACTTACCAAGATACATGTGAGTGCATCCCAAATCCTGGCTATACAGGAGGTGTGAAATTGTCTGAAACTTTTCAGTCTCTGCTGCGCAGGAGAACACCAATGAAGTTGGGTAAATCTACAGCATATTCCACAACAGTTTCCTTGCAATTATATAATACAGTGGCTGGCCCTTATGATCAATTTTGTTTAGCCTAGGCCAGCGTTGGGTTCAGATTTCAGTTGACAATCTAGCAAGCTACCACTTCAGCTAACACATGGAATCCAGAAACTCCAGAAGGACACTGTATTAGTCCGTTCTCATGCTGCTATGAAGAAATACACGAGACTGGGTGATTTATGAAGAAAAGAAGTTTAATTGACTCACAGTTCCTCATGGCTTGGGAGAACTCAGGAAACTTACAATCATGGCCAAAGGCACCTCTTCACACAGCAGCAGGAGAGAGAATGAGTGCCAAGCAGAGGGGGAAGCCCCTTGTAAAACCATCAGATCTCATGAAAACTCACTCACTAGCAGAAGAACAACATGGAGGAACACACCCCCATGATTCATTTATCTCAACCTGGTCCCACCCTTGACACATGGGTATTATTATAATTCAAGGTGAGATTTGAGTGAGGACACAGAGCCAAACCATATCAGATACCCAGATCGATCAGCTTTGCCCAACCTAAAGCTATGTTTCTACTTCCTGGTCTAACATTTGTAGAAACCATTCCCATGAGAAGTCCTTGGGTATCTGTTTAACATAGCAAAATCTTTTGGCATGTCAGTCTTCTCTTCCTAAGTTCAGTTTGTATTCTGCAGCATGCTGGGCTCTGACTCCAGTTATAATAGGTAGAGAAGCAAAGAAGCCTGGTAATGAAAGGGCTTGAGGAGAGTTGGCAACTTATTTACCTCAGGTAAAGTAACTCTTGTGTGTCCTCAAATAAACTACAACTAACCTCATCAGACAGGGAAAGAGAGTTGCTTTTGCTTGCAAGGGAGGTTTGGTGGGAAGGGGATTTAGAGTGGTCAAATTCAACTGAACACACACAAATGTCCCAGGGTAATTCACAAGGTCTCTTGCCAATCAGTGTTCTAATGTTCACTTAAAAGGTATGACAACCTGAGCACGGTGACTCACACCTATATTCTCAGCACTTTAGGAGGCCAAGGTGGGAGGATCACTTGAGGCCAGGAGTTTGAGATCAGCATTAGCAACACAGAGAGACCCCCATCTCTACAAAAATAAAAAATTAGCTGGGCATGGTGGTATGCACCTATACTCCCATCTACTCAGGAGCGTGAGGTGGGATGATCCCTTGAGCCCTGTAGTTTGGGGCTGCAGTGAGCTATGATCACACCACTGCACTCCAAACTATGTAACAGAGTGAGACCCTGTCTCTAAAACAACAACAAAAATTTTAATGATATGACAAAATGTGAATCCCCTTATACTGTAACTTAACAACCCATAGAATCATATTCTGTAGAATGTAGGGATATATCAGTCCTGATCTAAGGCCACAAGAGATAAAAGATCATCTGAGGGTAATTCTATCACCCAGGCTGAAGTACCGTGGTGTAATCTCGGCTCACTGCAACCTCCACCTTTCCAGTTCAAGCAATTCTCCCACCTTAGCCTCCCGAGTAGCTGAGACTATAGGCATGCATCACCATGGCTGGCTAATTTTTGTATTTCTAATAGAGATGGGGTTTCTCCATGTTGGCCAGGCTATTCTCGAAATCCTGACCTCAAGTGATCTGCCCGCCTCAGCCTCCCAAAGTGCTGGGATTACCAGCATGAGCCACCGCGCCCAGCTGTTTCCTTTCTTTAATTGCTCCAGAGCTATTTTTTTTTTAGCAACCCCAATTCACAACGCTTGAAATTTCTCATTCTCATTCTAATGATTTATCATAGCAAGCACTTCACCCCAGTCTAGCCTTCTAACAGGCATATCATTTCAGGAAGCCATAGTAATAATTTAAGTGACTTCTTTTTGTCACTGCGTGCCATTAATTATGAGAGTTCCATGTTCTAATAATAACATGATTGCCATCATCTGTAAAAAGAACTGGAATAGATAACCCATCCAATGTTTCCATCCTTGAGAGTCTGTTATCTGTAACCCCTTCTGGAGGGAGGAAACAGAAACCACTTTAGATATTTTTAGGAAAAAGAAGCTTAAGAAAAAAATATTTTATGCAGGAAATACGTGTTTGTAGAATCATTTTAAAGGCTGCAGAAGCAAGAGTCAGAGGTGGGGGACACACCACTGTAGTGGCAAGCCCAAGATCAAGAAGCATCTGCTGCCGTCACCACTGCTACTGCTAATCATCTCCTTACACCCATGAAACTGGAACCCTGAGGCTAGCTGCAGTAACTGGCACAATACCACCTGATATCCATGGGCTGGTGTGTACAAACTTCAGGTCTTATAAGAGTGCATCCAACTGGTAGAAGCTTATCTATAACAAGAATCCTAGCTGCTTGGGGTCTGGAAAACATATATTTAAGTTACCAACTTTTAAAGAATAAGAAAGCATTCTAAACCGGAGGTGGAATAGAGGAGGAGCAAACATTCACAGAAGCCACAGGAAGTTTTAGTCTCAGAAACTGTGAGTCTCTATTTGGCTGTATATGGTCAATCTTTCACATCTCCTCCTCCTCTTCCTGTTTCTCTGCCTAACATATCAACTGATGCATGTGATTAAGGGTTGGGCAGGCACCTTGAACTTGTTCCTAAGTGTTCAAGGGCTAGTATTTGCTGGTTTCTGGGGTATTGCCCCTTGTCCATGAAGTTCCTGGTGGCCTGCTACAGTCCCATGAAGAAGTCTGCAGTGGCTCACGCTTATTAATCCTAGCACTTTTCGAGGCCAAAGTAGGTAGGTCCCTTCAGCCCATGAGTTCAAGACCAGCCTGGGCAACATAACAAAACCCCATCTCTACCAAAAAAAAAAAAAATTAGCCAGGACTGGTGGTGCACACCTATAATCCCAGCTACTCAGGAGGCTAAAGGAAGAGAATCGCTTGAGCCCAAGAGGCAGAGGTTGCAGTGAGCTGAGATCGCACCACTGCACTCCAGCCTTGGTGACAAAGCAAGACACTATCTCAAAAAAATTTCTTAATTTTAAAAATTTTTAAAGAAATCAATGCTAGGCTTAATACAGAAATAGGACAAACTTTCACAACTTCACTCTCTGTTGATATGCTTAAGCATCCTTAAGGAGTCCTGGCAGCATTCAGACAACAATTTAGAAGGTCTAGAGAAGATCACATACAAACCCCTAACAAGGGAATGAAGGCTCGTACCATGTGCAGAGACCTCCAGAGAAATTGCTTCTTCGTTCACTAGTCTACTCTATCACATGCTTGGCTGCATTGTCTCTTATGTTTAAAATAAACTAGAAGATCGTTAGGAATTTTGTGAAAAAAATTGTCCTCCTTTTATCTTACAAATAAAGTGTTCTATTTTTTTAAGTGAGATAGGGGTTTAAAATATAAATAAGAAAATATAGAAAATATATATATAAGCACCCAGAAAATAATCACTTTAGATACCATGGTACCTTTCAAAAAAGAAAAATGAGACCATCCCAGTCATGTTATTTTTCTTTCTTAAAAGTTACTCGGCCAGGCACAGTGGCTCACGCCTATAATCCCAGCACTCTGGGAGGCCAAGGCGGGTAAATCACCTGAGGTCAGGACTTCCAGACTAGCCTAGCCAACAGGGTGAAACCCCATCTTTACTAGAAATACAAAAATTAGCTGGGCGTGGTGGCAGGTTCCTGTAATCCTAGCTACTCAGGAGGCTGAGGCAGGAGAATCACTTGAGCCTAGAATGCAGAGGTTGCAGTGAGCTGAAATTGTGCCATCACACTCCAGCCTGTGCTACAAGAGCAAAACTCCATCTCAAAAAAATAAAATAACATTAAAAAGTTAATCATCATGGCCGTCTAGCCATGTTTATACATCTCCAACATCAGTTTTAGAGATTGAAGAAGATTTAGGGAAACATAATAATTGTAAAATTCTAAGAACAGTGTGCCATATTTGGATATGTCAAAAATACTACTTCTTAAAATGTCAAAATATTACTTGTTTCAGGAACACATATAGTGTTTGTTAAAAATGAAGAATAGGTGGAGCTTGGTGGCTAACACCCATAATCCCAACACTCTGGGGGGCAAAGGCAGGTGTACTTGAGGCCAGGAGTTCAAGACCAGCCTGGCCGACATGGAGAAACCCTGTCTCTACTAATATATATATATATATATATATATACACATATACATATACACAAACACACACACGCGCGCACACACACACACACAAATTAGCCAGACATGGTGGCAGGTTCTTGTAGTCCCAGCTACTCAGGAGGCTGAGGCAGGATAATCACTTGAACCCAGGAAGCAGAAGTTGCAGTGAGCCAAGATCGTGCCACAGCACTTCAGCCTGGGTGACCAAGCGAGACTCTGTCTCAAAAACAAAAACAAAAGCAAAAAGCACCGGAGAATAGCTTTGTCATAATTTACTCCAAAAAAATTGTTTAATCAAAAGAATTAAATTAAATTTAAAATGGAGATTAGGGAGTCCATCTCAGACCTATAAAAGCAGAATCTCCAGGTGGGGGTCCACAAATTCACATCTATAGCAAGTTTCCAGATAATGTTGATCTCACTACATTTGAGAACACTGGATTGTTTTAAAGAGAGGACCTATTTTCCCCCAATATACCAGAATATTTCTGTTTCTTGAACTTTTCTGTTCTCTGATTTTGATTTCAGGAGACAACAATGGATGGTCTCTGCAATTTGACAAATATTTTGCCAATTACTTCAAAATGACTTCCCCACATCCCTTTGAGGCAGAAAAACCTGAATGTTGTAAGTAATTAGAGCAGTTATTTTCTTTTCCATGAATTTATAAGATACCATTGTTTAAAAGTTTGATTCAACATTTTAAAAAAGATTGCATCTCAACCTGAAAATCGGTTTTAATTAGAGAAACTTAAAAATTTGTAAGAGATCCGTTATAGTTTTCTAATTGGAAACTATTAAAGATACAGCCTTCACTAGGAAAATTTATTTCAAAGAAGACTCACAGATCTTAATTGTGAAAGTAATAAATTGTGTCAGATATTGTTGTGAACAAAATCAATGTCAGTCAAGGATGCTATTTTATATGAGTTCTCTTTTTGCAATCACAGTAAAATTTGATGTAAAGAAAAAAGAGAAAACAGAGAGGGCAGAAAAGCTGTTTGGATTTTAATGTTTGCCGGGAAAAATCTTCTGAGCTGCAAAACCCTTATTCATTATAACCTGCTATGTTTAGTCATACACCGAAAACTTACAAAAACATTGGAAGGGCTGTGAAGGGTATAAACCTGAGGATTAACTATGATATTTTAGATCAGAAAGATCTATGAAAATAACTCCTCTTAAATAAATTTTGTCTATTCTAATATATTATGCAAATGTAAATCTGTGCCTTGGAGCTGTCATTTTAACACTAGCTTTTCAAACCCTTGGTTAAAAAGCAGGGCATAGAGGAAGAAATCCTTTGCTATATTATTTTTCTTTATGTTCTACCAGAAATTGTAAAATCTAGCTTTTTGAATTTTTAGTATTGTCTTCACTGCTTAAATGAGTTTAATCAAACACTACTAACAATCCCCAATTTAAGGGGATAGACGACTCTGTTGTGCGACTCACAGGGTACTCAGTAACCTATCTCAGCATCATGCCATTATTTAGAGGGAAACCAAATAATATGCCCATTAAAAAGCTAAAAATCAGCTGGGCACAGTGGCTCACACTTGTAATCCCAGCACTCTGGGAGGCTGAGGTGGGAAGATCTCACTTGAGTCCAAGACTTGCTTGAGTCAAGACCAGCCTGGGCAACACAGTGAGACCCCAGTCTCTCCAAGAAAAAAAAATTAAAAATTAGCTGTGCTACTCAGGAGGCCGAGGTGGGAGGATCTCTTGAGCCCAGGAGTTTGAAGCTGCAGTGAGCTGTGATTGAGTCACTGTGCTCCAGCCTGGGCAATAGAACAAAACAGTGTCTCAGAGGAGTAAAAAAAGAAAAGCTGAAAGCTTTTGGGAAAGGAAAAAGTTGATAGATATAATTTAACTGATAATTTTTAAAATAATGAATTAAGTATGTCATCTCAAAACAGTTTTTTCTTTTATTATATATTGTTTTCATTATATTTCTTAAATTTTAAATGAATCTTTTAATACCTCACCTTGTTCCCAAAAGGATTTTCAGCAACTTGTAATTAAAATATAGCTACTAAAAGGCTTAAACCATTAATATGATATAAAAGGCAAAAGTTAAGTGGTGAATGGAAAGCGAATGACCAAAAAAAAAAATTATCTAAGAAAATCCTCCCTGAGAAAAGTTCAGTGACTTCATCCAAAGCATAGTTATGAATTTCATAGCCATTAAGTCCAGGAGATAAAATAATACATCATGTTAGCTTTCATAGTTTGTAAAGCAAAACAAACAAATGGGGCACAACCAGATCAAATCGGCAAGAGAAATATACTTTTGCCTGATCCTGCATCCCGGAAGACATTTGTCACAAGTATAATTACATAAAAGGAATGAAGCTATATAATAAAGGCTGTGTAAAAAAATACAGAAGTAATTTTTTTCATCAGTACTTAACAAAAACAAATACATTGTTTAGAGTTCCTTAAAGACAACTTGTTGAGGAGTGCAGCTAATAACTAAATTTATTTTTCAAACCTGAAAACCATATAAAAATAGAATGGCAAGTGTGGTGTAAAACTTGGGGGTAAAATTTAAGTTAAGGTTCCTGTGTCTTACCTTATTTAAAGCAGATTATAGGGATTTATTGGAAATTAAAAGGAGCATAACTTATAATCATTTTTGATGAGATAAAATAATGTGAGGAATTCACATTGGTAAAGTCACCTTTCAAGAGCAATATCATGGAAAATACAATATCTATGATGAGCCAATAAAATAACAAAATTTAAGTTTAAAGGATTTGAAAAGTACAGAGATTTGGAAAGAATTGCTCACTCAGCCATAATTTGACCACTCAGAAGCTACTGGCATTAACTTGCTACTGCATTACTCATCGCTTTTTATTTTAACATAGTTGAAATTTCCTATACAAACTATTGTTATCAAATTTTCAATTAGCATTTTGGCATAATCAGGTATCTGTATTACTATAAGATCTTTGAAAATATACCATGTAATAGTATATTTTGTAAATGACATAATTTCCTTAATCATTTTTTGGCTGTTAGGTATTTATGTGTTGTTTTTTCATTTTTCCCCATTGCAGATAACCCTGTAATCAACATACATGGATTACTTTAATTTAGTCTCTATATATGAAAAAAAAAATGTACTGGGATTAAAGCTAATTTCTCTGCCCTCCATTTCTGCCCTTCCTACTCTGATTCTCAGGACCATCTTCTTCCTTCCCAACCTCTCCATCCCATCCGCACAACATACACATAGACTCACATATTAGATAATATAATTTTTTTTTAGATGGAGTCTCGCTCTCTCACCCAGGCTGGAGTGTAGTGGCACGATCTCCACTCACTACAACCTCCGCCTCCTGGGTTTAAGCAATTCTCCTTCCTCAGCTTCCCGAGTAGCTGAGATTACAGGTGCCAACCACCACGCCTGGCAATTTTTGTGATGTTAGTAGAGATGGGATTTCACCATTTTGGCCAGGCTGGTCTCGAACTCCTGACCTCAGGTGATCTACCCACCTCAGCCTCCCAAAGTGTTTGGATTACAGGCATGAGCCACCACCCCTGGCTAGATATGATTTTAACTTAAAGAGACAGCATTGGTTTTCAGACATCCATAACCAAAATGAATACTTGCAACTATATAACTGTTTTAAAGTTCTTGGCAGATGCTCTGTTTACATGAAACACTACATCTAAGTTATGGTCCTGATCTCTTATAACCCTATAAAGAAGTCTCTGGAGATATTTGGAATGAGAGGAAGAACACATGTCACCCTATATCTGAGCAAAAGAACTTCCTCATAAACAGTGATTCATCAGGGTCTCTGCTTGGCCATGGGGACACTTGCCTGCTCTCTGCAAGTTTCCCCATAAAGGTCAGAAACTGAAATCCGACAAACAGAAAATTCTCTTAGACAGTTTTGTTTGTCCAATATTATTTTTAAATGTTTTAAGTTAGCTAATATCAGTTTTAAAATAGGTAGTTATATATAAAACATTGTATTTCTGGCTTCTTTGAGGAAGTTGGCAGACGTAGCTACACGTTTCTATTCTAACAATGGCAGCAGATGGGAGCAGCTGTTACACTCAGACATCTGGACACAGTCTACATCGACTTTGCCTGGACACATTTGAGTCTGTAACCTCTGCCGTATAGTTTAGGGCTCCAGAAGTAAATATGGAGGGGAAACATTTCTCATTGCTCTCAGGAACTGTCTATTCCCCATCAGAGCAGGAATTAAACTATATTTATTACCCTAAATAATAATCTCATTATTCTTTTTAACTGTAGGAATACATCATTGCAAGTCTCTAATAGACTTTAGATTTACTGAATCACATCCTAACACTATCTCCACAAGATAGCCAAGGTCATACATTTCATTCTTCCTCTCTTTCCAACACCCAACATCAGTAAAAATAGAATCCTATGCAGAAAAAAACATTCGCTCCCATAAATAAACTTTTATTCATCCTTTACCCCTATTTAAGCCAAAAGAAGATTGTTTTTTTTTTTGAGATGCGTCTTACTCTATTGCCCAGGATGGAGTGCAATGGCACAGTCTCGGCTCACCACATCCTCTGCCTCCAAGTTTAAGAGATTCTCCTGCCTCAGCCTCCTGAGTAGCTTGGATTACAGGTGCCCACCACCACACCTGGCTAATTTTTGTATTTTTAGTAGACATGGGGTTTTACCATCTTGGCCAGGCTGGTCTCACACTCATAACCTCAGGTGATCTGACTGCCTCAGCCTCCCAGAGTGCTGGGATTACAAGCATGAACCATCATGCCCGGCCAAGAAGATCTTTTTTAAAAATTATTTGAAGAACTCCTGATTTAAAAAAAAAAAAAAATCTATAGATACTATCATTTGTTTTTAGTTCTCTTTAGTCTTGCTAGTTAAAAGTTATTTTTAACTTTAAAGGTTTTGATTATGCTAAATAAATGTTTTTAAATGGCAGTTCTAATATGAACATTAAGCCTCATCACACATTATTATGTCAGTCCTTAGTGGTATAAGAGCAGATGATTTCATTCATTTTGCAATGAATGGAGAACAGTCTGCTAGTTTAAAAGAAGTGCATGAGCTGGTAAGTGTGTGTTTCCAAATAGTAATGCTCTATCATTATTTTAAGGTTACTTTAAAAGCAAACTTTGGAACCTTAATTTAAAGCATTGCCTAAATTGCTTAGGTAACATATGATATGCTTTTGTATTACATGATTTTCTCATAGCTTCTCATTTCTTTCTTTTCATTACACTCCTCTTCCTGGTCCCTCACTGTCATCATGCCTTGCCACTTCCCTTGACTCAGTGGTTGGTTCTGTGCCACTGCAATGTCGTTGCCAAGGTCTGGAGCTTGACTGTGATGAAACCAATTTACGAGCTGTTCCATCAGTTTCTTCAAATGTGACTGTAATGTAAGTAGAAAAGAATTACTTCATCCTGACAGCCAGATAGTACTTGGAAAATTGTATTATAATTAAGACCATGTCATTATTAATAATGTATTTTTATTCAAAGATGATGTCATTTTTCCTAGGACAGGTATAATAATTACTGCTATTTATTTTGCATTTATTAAATGCTAGACCTTACCTTAAATTATTCTTTACATTAACTTATTAAATCCCTTATAACAATCCTGTGAGGTACGGGTATCACCATATTTCATCTAAACAAAAAAAGTCATCAATTTCATGTGCTACTGAAGAAAAAACAGCTTCTAAAAAAATTATGATTATTTCATTCTATTTTCAGAGAAAAAAAATCAGAATCCTTCTCCACTGCTTGTATCAAATTACTAGAAAATCCAAATTAAAGGATATTCTGATTCAGCAAATTTCATTTTTCATTTTCCCACAAGTAAGATTTGAATCCTTAATATAACAGTTCAACCAACATTTGTAAAATAAAGAACAGAGAGAGAAAGCTGGAGGAATGGAGGGGAATAAGGCAATGGCTAACTAGGGAGGGCATGCCCCACATAGAGGGTGAATCATTTAATTGAATTAATTCCCATTCTATTTGAAAAATTGTCATGGTCTAATATACACATACATACATAAAGACATGTGGGCAGAAAACTGTGACCTACCAGTTTTCAACTTCTGGTATAAACAAAAAAGCTGGGACCAGGTCTTTGTAAATGATTGTCTACAAGAAGGCAAGGGAGAAGGAGTCAAGCATGACTCCAGGGTTTCTGTTCTAAGCAACAGTGTGATCTGAGAATAGGGAGACTTGGTGGCAGTAATTAAGATTAGGACTGGGACTCTGATGTTAGATTTTTTTTCAATTTGAGATTAACAGGTCACTCAGTGGAAATCTCCAACAGGCATTTTGCTGTATAGGAATAAAGCTTCGGGGTTTATGTGTACAGTATTTAATTTCTTTTTTGTTTTAAAAACCGCATTCTCTTGTGCTTTTGGTTGCACCACTAGATTCCAGTTGTCCATTTATACTTTTCTCTGCAGAACACTGGCTTGGACTCATACCTAGTCCCAGTCTATTTGTTCAGTTCAATACAGAAAAAGAACTTTATGATTTACAGTAAATACATTAAAAAGTAAATATTAAATTTCATTAATGAGTTCTTTCCAGACTTTGAGTTGGAACTATTACAGGGAAATCTCAGAAGTGAACTGAATCATATATAAGAATAAAAGAAGCCAATACTCCAAGAAATGTTTATTGAAGTCAGAAATTTTAAAGACATTTCACATAAATGCTAATGAACAAAACAGGAAAACATAGATAGATATGATCATTTTTACATGGTTCTAGCTTGCTAAACACTAACTTTGACTATTTGAGACTTGACTTTAAGATCCTGAAATTTAATCACTAGAACCAACTGAGCTAATATTAAGATCTTTATTTATAAAAACTAGAGCTAGCTTTGACAATAATGATTAAACTGGGCAGTTTCTCTCTCTCTCTCTCTCTCTCTCTCTCTCTCTCTCTCTCTCTCACACACACACACACACACACACACCCTCTTTGTGTGAACAATCAAAGTTGCAATGTCAAATTTTAAAATATAAGAATTTATTATAAAGTATTTTGGCTTATTCTATTCCATGAGGATAACAGCATCTGTCTCTTTCTATCCCAATAGGATATTATGAAATATAGAGAATGTTATTTATAAAAATATTTTATGTCATTTAGAAAGAAGTAACCTATAAATCCTAGGCCTTGTTAATAAAAACCCAATTTTTTAAGTAATATTACTTAGAGGTCTTTCGAGCCTCACTTTCCTCTGTAGTACCTCTCCTCTTTCAAGTGCAGTTAACCTTTTCCGCTTGGGTTCTCTCATAGAACCTCCTTTAAGTATACTAAACGTTCTTGCTTGTACCACAGTGATTTGGGTCCTATTGTCTACCTGAAACAGGAAAATACCATGAGCTCCATGGGGCCTATCTATCACCCAAAGTTCCTAACAGAGCCTAACAATCCATACATAAATGTTTTTGAAATGAATTTATAAAAAAGCACACAGTAAAAACAAAAGAAGTTGATTGCCTCTTTAGCTCTGGAATATAAGATTGATGTTATTTTTCAAAGAAAATTCTCTATATATAGGTAAAGTATAATTTGTACAAATAGAGTATAAACTCCTTAAAGGCAGGTATTCAACATGTGCAAATAGCAGGGATTCGACACATTTTTTGAGATAATGAATGAATGAATGAATGAACATATTTTTAAGAACACACTACACTTTCACCTATATCTTTAAATCAAACTCAATGTTTTTTTAACGCAGGGTCTCACTGTGTCCCAGGCTGGAATGCAAATGTGCGATCACAGCTCACTGTAGCCTTGACCTCCAAGGCTCAGGTGATCCTCCTACCTTAGCCTCCCAAGTAGTTGAGGCTCCCAGCATGCACCACCATGCCCAGCTAATTTTTTTAATTATTTGTAGAAATGGGGGGGGTCTCACTATGTTGCCAAGCTGGTCTGAACTCCTGGGCTCAAGTGATCCTCATGTCTCAGTCTCCCAAAGTACTGGAATTACAGGTGTGAGCCAAATCCAAATATTTAACAATTTCTCTTTGCACAATACAAGCATTTAAACAGGATATAAAGCAGAATTTGGGATCCAAGTCAAGTCAGAATTGTTAGCAGAAAAGAGATCCTCAATTAGTTAATATAAATAAGGAAAGAATATTTGGGGACAGCCAGTAACTGAGAGTGATTTCAAGAGGGAATTACTTGTTAATCAGCCTTTGGTGTTACTTATTTAAAAAGTCATTAAGTGCCTGATATGTGTAGTCTAGAAATGTGATTGTTAACTTTTTTCTTTCACTATTGTTTCCCTTCCCTCAGGGAGAATTTTTAGACTTTTTAGACTTTTTTTTTTCTATTTGTCCCCTCCTGTGAAATTTTAATACTACAGATATACGTCAGGTGCAGTGGCTCACACCTGTAATCCCAGCACTTTGGGAGGCCAAGGCAGGTGGATCACGTGGTTGGGAGTTCGAGACCATCCTGATCAACATGGAGAAACCCTGTCTCCACTAAAAACACAAAACTTAGGTGGGCGTGGTGGCACTCACCTGTAATCCTAGCTACTTGGGAGGCTGAGGCAGGAGAATCACTTGAACCCCAGAAGTGGAGGTTGCAGCGAGCTGAGATTGTGCCACTACACTCCACCCTGGGTGACAAAGTGAGACTCCGTCTCAAAAAAAAAAAAAAAAAAAACCACAGATATACTATATATTTTCTTGTGTATTTCTGGGCATTATACATTTAAAAAGTAAGACTTTTTTTTCACTTCTTAAGGACCAATTCCCACTTTCACTGAGAGTGCATGGTCTTCTGGACTCTGGAACAGCGTTTCTTAAATTAGATTCCAAAAATGTGTTCTGAAGAGTCTGAGAAACTTTTTTTTAAGAAGGATTCATCACCAAGTTTAAGCAACACTGCTTCAAAACCTAAACATTGTTAGTGCTGGTTGTTTAAAACTGTCTTAACCTGAGTTAAATTAACCTCCAGACAAAGCAGTACGTTGCTCACTTATTAGCATCAGCTCCATGGTACTATATAATGACAGTACTAATAATATCATATTATTAGATACCATCTAATCCAAATCCCTCCTTTCACAGTTAAAGAGACTGACTTGGAAAGGTTGTGTGTGATTCATGCAAGGAACCACAGCTACACTGGTCTTTCTTTTTTATTATTATTATTGTTTTATTTATTTTGCTTTTACTACATTACATTGTTTTTCTAAAACAAAAAAATTAAGGGCTTGGGATTTTCCAGTACAACCACAATTATGTGGATCTGCTGTGTGTCAAACTGCTTACTAACTTGTGATACAAGAGAAAATCTTTCTTTACAACTTCTTAGAAGTTGAAATGGGATCACTTTTTGAATCAAGATGACTCAATTATAGGTACCAATAGATGGTCTCCTTTATAACTAATTTTAAGGTGGTAGAATGTGAGCAATGAAATATTGGGGAATACAATATTTAATTGCTTGAGTGTGTTTGAAACAGAAAGCACTATTTTCATCGTCACTCAGGGACTGAGATGCCTTTGAATGTTTGTTAAATAAAAATAAGAAAAAAAAACATAACTGAAAATCAGTTTTTTCAATTTGATTTTTTAACATGTTTGGTCCAAATTACAAAGTCCTAACCAAAATTTAAGAAAATGTGAATAGCTTTTTTTTTTTTTTTTTTTGAGATGGAGTTTCGCTCGTTACCCAGGCTGGAGTGCAATGGCGCGATCTCGGCTCACAGCAACCTCCGCCTCCTGGGTTCAGGCAATTCTCCTGCCTTAACAGCTGGGATTACAGGCATGCGCCACCGTGCCCAGCTAATTTTTTGTATTTTTAGTAGAGACGGGGTTTCACCATGTTGACCAGGATGGTCTCGATCTCTTGACCTCGTGATCCACCCGCCTCGGCCTCCCAAAGTGCTGGGATTACAGGCGTGAGCCACCGCGGCCGGTCGTGAATAGCTTTAATAAAACCAACAGCTAGACCTAGTCCAAGTGATATAATAAATATGAAAGAGACATCACGAAGCAAAATGTTTCCTGAAAGCCAGTGCTAAATAGTTTGTGATTATCCCTATTTTTATAATTTAAAAGTAAAGAAAAACAACTTCAAGAATGAAAATTTACATTTATTGCAGGTCACTTCAGTGGAACTTAATAAGAAAGCTTCCTCCTGATTGCTTCAAGAATTATCACGATCTTCGGAAGTTGTAAGAAAATATTTAATTCCTGGTATTAAAATTTACTAATGTTTTTGGCATATCTCTTGCTTCCCACTTCTGTGAACACCAACACTGTTCCACTGCATATGTCTAATCCCTATTCAGGGAAGTTTTTAGCTGTTAACTGGAGGCTTCCAGGTAATTTTTTTTTTTTCTGAGTAATTCTAGAAACCATTCTAGAAAAATCTCAGACACCTATCCCCAAAGGAACTGGAACATGTGTGCTGTGAATCCTCCTACCACAGTCCCCCAAAATGAAGATACTTATAAGCTTTTTCCCTCTCCATTATTCTAACATGGAACACCTCAATGCTCATCTTTTTTTTTTTTATTGTACTTTAGGTTCTGGGGTACATGTGCAGATGATGCAGGGTTGTTGCATAGGTACTTGAATAGCAAGGTGGTTTGCTGCCTCCATCCCCCATCACCTATATCTGGCATTTCTCCCCATGTTATCCTTCCCCTACCTCCCCACCCACTGTGGTCCCTCCTCTAGCCTCCCACAATAGACCCCAGTGTGTGATGCTCCCCTCCTTGAATCAATGTGTTCTCATTGTTCAACATCCACCTATGAGTGATAACATCCGGTGTTTGATTTTCTGTTCTTGTGTCAGTTTGCTGAGAATGATGTTCTCCAGATTCATCCATGTCTCTACAAAGGACACAAACTCATCATTTTTTATGGCTGCTTAGTATTCCATGGTATATATGTGCCACATTTTCCTTGTCCAGTCTATCATCAATGGGCATTTGAGTTGGTTCCAGGTCTTTGCTATTGTAAACTGTGCCACAGTGAACATACGTGTGCATGTGTCTTTATGATAGAATGATTTATAATCCTTTGGGTATATACCCAGTAATGGGATTGCTGAGTCAAATGGAATTTCTATTTCTAGATCCTTGAGGAATCACCACACTGTCTTCCACAATGGTTGAACTAATTTACACTCCCATCAACAGTGTAAAACTGTTCCTATTTCTCCACATCTTCTCCAGCAATTGTTGCCTCCAGATTTTATGATGATCACCATTCTAACTGGCAATGAGATGGTATCTCAACATGGTTTTGATTTGCATTTTTCTAATGACCAGTGACGATGAGCATTTTTTCATTTGTTTATTGGTCTCATATATGTCTTCTTTTGAAAAGTTCATGTCCTTTGCCCACTTTTGAACAGATTTGTTTTTTTCTTGTAAATCTGTTTTAGTTTTTGTAGATTCTGGATATTAGCCCTTTGTTAGATGGGTAGATTGCAAAAATTTTTGACCATTCTGTTGGTTGCCAGTTCACTCTAATGATTGTTTCTTTTGCTGTACAGAAGCTCTGGAGTTTAATTAGGTCCCATTTGTCTATTTCGGTTTTTGTTGCCAATGCTTTTGGTGTTTTAGTTATGAAGTCCTTGACTATGCTTATGTCCTGAATGGTTTTGCCTAGATTTTCTGCTAGGGTTCTTATGGTGTCAGATCTTATATTTAAGTCTTTAATCCATCTGGAGTTAATTTTACTGTAAGATGTTAGGAAGGGATCCAGTTTCAGCTTTCTGCACATTGCTAGCCAGTTTTCCCAACACCATTTATTAAATAAGGAATCCTTTCCCAATTCTTATTTTTGTCAGGTTTTTCAAAGATCAGATGGCTATAGATGTGTGGCATTGCTTCTGAGGCCTCTGTTCTGTTCCATTGGTCTATATCTCTGTTTTGGTACCAGTATCATGCTGTTTTGCTTACTGTCACCTTGTAGTATAATTTGAAATCAGGTAATGTGATGCCTCCAGCTTTGTTCTTTTTGCTTAGGATTGCCTTTGCTATGTAGGCTCTCTTTAGGTTTCATATGAAGTTTAAGGTGGTTTTTTCCAGTTCTGTGAAGAAGGTCATTAGTAGCTTGATGGGGATAGCATTGAATCTATAAATTACTTTGGGCAGTATGGTCATTTTCATGATATTGATTCTTCCTAACTATGAGCATGGAATGTTTCTCCATCTGTTTGTGTCCTCTCTTATTTCCTTGAGCAGTGGTTTGTAGTTCTCCTTGAAGAGGTCCTTTACATTCTTTGTTAGTTGTATTCCTGGGTATTTTATTATCTTCGTAGCAATTGTGAATGGAAGTTCATTCTTGATTTGGCTCTCTGTTAGTCTGTTATTGGTGTATGGGAATGATTGTGATTCCTGCACATTGATTTTGTATCCTGAGACTTTGCTGAATTTGCTTATCAGTTTCAGGATATTTGGGGCTGAGACGATGGGGTTATCTAAATATACAATCATGCCATCTGCAAATAGAGACAATTTGGCTTCCTCTTTTCCTATTTGAATCCCCTTTATTTCTTTTTCTTGCCTGATTGCTCTGCCTAGAAATTTCAATACTACATTGAATAGGAGTGGTGAGAGAGGGCATCCTTGCCTAGTGCCAGATTTCAAAGGGAATGCTTCCAGTTTTTGCCCATTCAGTATGATATTGGCTGTGGGTTTGTCATAAATAGCTTTTATTACTTTGAGATACGTTCCATCAATACCTAGTTTATTGAGAATTTTTAGCATAACGCACTGTTGATTTTTGTTGAAGGCTTTCTCTGCATCTGTAGATATATCATGTGGTTTTTGTCTTTGATTCTATTCATGTGGTGGATTACATTTATAGATTTGCTTATGTTGAGCTAGGCTTGTATCCCCAGGATGAAGCCTACTTGATCGTGATGGATAAGCTTTTTGATGTGCTGTTGCAATCAGTTTGCCAGTATTTTATTAAAAATTTTGCCATCTACATTCATCATGGATATTGGCCTGAAGTTTTCTTTTCTTGTTGATTCTCTGCTGGGTTTTGGTATCAGGATGATGTTAGTCTCAATGATTTGGGAAATAGTCCCTCTTTTTGTATTGTTTAGAATAGTTTCAGAAGGAGTGGGACCAGCTCCTCTTTGTACATCTGGCAGAATTCAACTGTGAACCCATCTGGGCTTGGACTTTATTGGTTGGTTGGCTATTAATAGCTGCCTCGACTTAAGCCCTTGTTATTGGTATATTCAGGGTTTCAACTACTTCCTGGTTTAGTCTTGGGAGGGTGCAATTGTCCAGGAACTTATCCATTTCTTCCTGATTTACTGGTTTATGTGCATAGAGTTGTTTGTAGTAATCTCCGATGCTAGTTTGTATTTCTGTGGAATCGTGGTGATATCCCCATGATCACTTTTTATTGCATCTATTTTATTCTTCTCTCTTTTATTTTTTATTAATCTAGATAGTGGTCTATTTTGCTGATATTTTCAAAACCCAGCACCTGGATTTATTGATTTTTTGAAGGGTTTTTTTGTGTCTCTGTCTCCAATTCTGCTCTGATCTTAGTTATTTCTTGTCTTCTGCTAGCTTTACAGTTTTTTTATTATCTTGCTCCTCTAGCTCTTTCCATTTAGATCCATTTTAGATCTTTCCTCACTTCTCATGTGGGCATTTATTGCTATAAATTTCCCTCTAGACACTGCTTTAAATGTGTTCCAGAGATTCTGGCACATTGTGTATTCATTCTCATTGGTTTCAAAGAACATCTTTATTTCTGCCTTCATTTCATTGTTTATCCAGTCAACATTCAAGAGCTAGTTGTTCAGTTTTCATGAAGCTGTGCGGTTCTGAGTTAGTTTCTTAATCCTGAATTCTAATTTGATTGCAGTGTGGTCTGAGAGACTATTTGTTATGATTTCCATTCTTCTGCATTTGCTGAGGATTAATTTAGTTCCAATTATGTGGTCAATTTTAGATTAGGTGTGATGTGGTGCTGAGAAGAATGTATATTCTGTGGATTTGGGGTGGAGAGTTCTGTAAATGTCTGTTAGGTCTGCTTGGTCCAGATCTGATTTCAAGTCCTGGATATCCTTCTTAATTTTCTGTCTCATTGGTCTGTCTAATATTGACAGTGGAGTGTTAAAGTCTCCCACTATTATTGAGCAGGACTCAAAGTCTCTTTATAGGTCATTAAGGACTTGCTTTATGTATCTGGGTGCTCCTGTATTGGGTGTGTATATATTTAGGATTGTTAGCTCTTCTTGTTACATCAATCATTTTACCATTATGTAATGCCCTTCTTTGTCTCTTTTGATCTTTGTTGCTTTAAAGTCTATTTTATCAGAGATGAGAACTGCAAATCCTGCTTGTTTTTGCTCTCCATTTGCTTGGTAAATCTTCCTCCATCCCTTTATTTTGAGCTTATGTGTGTTCTTGCATGTGAGATGGGTTTCCAGAATACAGCACACTGATGGGTCTTGACGTTTTATACAATTTGCCAGTCTGTGTCTTTTGATTAGGACATTTAGCCCATTTACATTTAAGGTTAATATTGTTATGTGTTAATTTGATCCTGCCATTGTGATGCTAACTGGTTGTTTTGCCCATTAGTTGATGCAGTTTCTTCATTGCATTGATGGTCTTTACCATGAGGTATGTTTTTGGAGTGACTGGTACTGGTTGTTCCTTTCCATGGTTAGTGCTTCTTTCATGAGCTCTTGTAATGCTGACCTGGTTTTGATGAAATTTCTCAGCAACTGCTTGTTCATAAAGGATTTTATTTCTCCTTCACTTATGAAGCTTAGTTTGGCTGGATATGAAATTCTGGGTTGAAAGTTCTTTCTTTAAGGATGATGAATATTGGCCCACACTCTCTTCTGGCTTGCTGAGAGATCTGCTGTGAGTCTGATAGGCTTCCCTTTGTGAGTAACCCAACCTTTCTCTCTGGCCACCCTTAGCATGTTTTCCTTCATTTCAACCCTGGTGAATCTGACAATTAGGTGCCTTGGGGGTGCTCTTCTTGAGGAATATCTTTGTGGTGTTCTCTATATTTCTTGGACTTGGATGTTAGCCTGCCTTGCTAGGTTGAGGAAGTTCTCCTGTATAATATCCTGCAGAGTGTTTTCCAGCTTGGATTTGTTCTCCCTGTCACATTCTGATATACGTATCAAATGTAGATTAGGTCTTTTCACATAATCCCATACTTCTTGGAGGCT